ACAAAATCAGCTGAGCTAGTAACACCACCTTATATAAATTCGCCTTGCTTAAATTTAAGCAACTTAACAGTTAAAGCTGTTAGTCAACGACGTAGCGTAAACGTAGGTTGACGTACGTAGCAGCATATAAAATTTACTGTTGATAGAGAGAGAAACAACGGCAACGCCACCACACATCATTTTGACATTGAGTAGTACCGCGGCGAAAATTGAATTCGCCATCAACACCACTTTGTATAAATTCGCCTTGACATTAAGTACCGCGGCGAAAATCAAAATTTGTCATCAACACCAACTTGTATAAATTTTAATTGTTGTTAAGTTAAATTGTAAAACATTTGGTTTCCGGGTACGCGTGGTATTTTTGGTTTTGGTATCTATAACATAGAACATCCAAAGGTTAATCAAGTTAATAACTCAAAACTGATAAATTTGCACATTCATGCTTCTGGCATGGGGGTGACAACATATGAAAATATTTTATTTTAAATATCTTTGGGTGCCATTAATAGATAGAATGGAGAAGTTGAGCAACCAAATTGGTTATTTGGTACTGCAGGACGACGGGGCGGTCATAGAGTCTAGTGGAGATTTGGAAAACGATGAACGAAGTGCAAATATTTTCCTGGATCTCTTGCACCTCACGGAAAGGTTGGTATTTATAATTAAAAACGTTTAGTTTCTAGAGTAACTGGATTAGGGTTATTTTTCCATTACATATTTGCTAATTGTGTTTTTGTTGCGCATAGTATATACCAGTCATGCCCAACTTTGGTAGAACTCCATAAACAAGTGCCCTGCGCTGGCAGAATTCCATATGCAAGCGCCTTCAAAATTTGCAATTTTTGAAATTATGCACTATGAATGTATACAGAGCCTCTTATTTACCTTTCAGCAAAAGATGGAGCAAATTTTTGTTACGATTTGCTGAAAAAACCTAAGGCCCCTATTATGATTCACAACTTTCAAGATAGTTGAGTTGTAAGTTGTAAATTGGTATTGTGGGAGACAACTCAACTCAACTTTGAAAACATAGTTGTCTGTTAGTTGTCTAGCACTAGCATCCTCGGGCTCATCGGTAAAACATAATTCGTAACTGGTTTCCATTTTTTTGCTTTTAATTATTTTAATAACAAAAGTTCTATCGATTTTACCACTTTTTCAATGGCTACAGTCAACTGAAAATAGTTGTGAACGACAATAGCAATAAATTGTACACGCAACAACCACGCTGTCGAGTTTAAATAGCGGCAAATCAGCTGCACTT